TAAAATATAATTAATAATTAAATTAAATATTTTATTGAAATTATTTATCACGTTTTTATTATTTGTGATATAATTATAATTTTTATATAATTTATATAAATATTTTAAATTAGTATATTTATTTTTAAGTAATGCAACAGCAGTTACAGAGCTAGAAATTGGCAATTTTGAGAGATGAATCAACGCTTGGGAAACATGGCTTTACTTCTCTCAAAGACTTGTTCAGCAATTATGGCTCCGTTACCATCTGCTTGTTTGATCTCCAAGTTAGTCTTCTCATGGAAACCAGTACCTCTCAATGCATCTGAGATAAAATCGCCGATCGGAATTCCACCTGCAATCGCTGCTTCCGCTTTAGCTCCGTATACGAGCCTCTACAACACGTAAAACAGACTAAACAAATTAAAGAAAACCCGACCCTTTTCCCGTCCCACCAATCATGTGAAAACACGTCATTAGCAACAAAAGATTTGGGGCATGGAAGCCTTTGTTTTGACGTGATTGGTGGATGAGATTCTTATCCACCAATCACATAAAGGACACATCATTAGAGAGAGAGAGAGAGAGATTTGGGGAATATTGGTGGATAAGAAGGGTCACCAATTACGTGAATACACGTCATCATAGAATGATTTGTTTGTTTATGTGTTTTCATATGATTCGCAGATCCATGTCTAAGTTGAACGGCACCGAAGCACATAATATGGGGCTAGAACCGAACCTTGATCCTTGAAAGTTGAATGGCGCTGAAGCACATAGGACAAGGCTCACAAGAAGCATACATCTCACAGTCGGAAAGCTTGATTCGGTTAAGCTTTTTACATGCCTGAGTTAAAACACATACAAAACGATCATAATAGATGCTCAAGCTCTTAAGCAGAAATTTCAACAACAATTATGACCAACACCCACAAGACATAAAAAGGTTGTAGCTGAATAACTAAGAAGAGAGAGAGAGAGAGTCTGTGTAACCTCTCGTATTGCTGTAACTTCTGCATGTGCAGTTGGATCGGTGTGTTTTAGAACCATGTTATGGCAACTCACAACAACTTCATCTTTGTGAACAACAAGGGCACCAAATGGCCGTCCATCTCCACATTCAACTGCTTTATATGCTTCTTCAACAGCTTTTATCAAGAATTTGTGGTCTCTATCCTCTATAACTGCTTTAAAACACACACACACACACCAAGGAGCTACATATTCATATTGGATTCAACCTCAACTACTAAATCAATCCATATGGGTTTAACCCAGATCAAATTTCGTTGATTTTTTACCCTTTTTTTTTCCAAAGCACAACATGAAACGAAGTTAAATTCAAACATAACATAGATTAATGGAAACAACTGAAAGGGGCAAATGGGATCTGTTATTGACTCAAACTAGAATTAAGAAGCAGATGATGACTGAAAGGAAGAAGAAAAAAGTACCTATTTGATGATTCCCATTCTCCATGTCCGAGAGAGATAGAGATAGAGATAGAGATAGAGATAGAGAGAGAGAGAGAGAGAGAGAGATGTGGAAGGGGTTTAATGATTGAATTTCATTCGGTATCAATGTGAAAAAATGATTTAAGAAAAACATAAATAAATCACATTTGAATTATTGTTAATCAATAATTAATATTTATTAATAATCAATAATTAATATTTATTAATAAAGGGTTTCATCAAATACAACCCTTACACCATCCATACGTGGGTTTCAATTTGAGTTGCATTCACTGTTGTGTCAGGAAATTGAAAGCCACATGAGATTTGAGTTTCAATATTTGCAAGTCACTTTGCAATGCCACATGGCTTCCACTTGCCTCCAATTTTCTTTTTCTTCTTTTAATTATTTAAATAAACTATTTTTATACAAAACAATTAATTTTATAAATTAATAATGTTAATATATTTTTAATTACATTAATTATATAATAAATTAAATTATTTTAAACATTAAATTTTATAATTACATAAAATTATAATCTAATATATAAAATTACATATAACTAACATAAAACACGCACGACTAACAAAACAACACAAATAAAATTACATGTTTATTCTTCTAAAAGTTGACGGATTTTTTTATCGTACAATTTTCGTAGAAGTAGGAGAGTGTTAATTATTGGAAAGACTTTCGAGTGTCGGCACTCATACTACACGTTTTGATTGCTCATTTTAAAGCTAAGGTAAATGATTAAAATCTATTAAAAAATATAAAATAAATAAATTATAATTACATATATAAATATAATAATGGTGAATAAAAAAATTATTGTGAAACAATCATACACCAACCATTTCATGTTTCTAACAATGCACAACAGTAACAATGATTTTACGGAACTTAAAAACCCGACCAACTTAATTTACTAACGCGAACATGAACCGAATGTTCAACGAATCGTTCATGAACCGTTCAGCGGCAAGTTTGTTTATATTTGTTTATTTAATAAATGAACGAACATGAACAATTTTTTTTGTTCATTTATCAATGGCCAATATTTGTTCTCGTGTTTACAAAAAAATTGTGGTTTTTATGTGAACTTGTCCATATATATGGATGATTTCAAATACAAACTATGTAATTTTTATAAATCATTATATTATGAATCAATTGAGATATCTATGAACAATTATTATGATTGAGATATATATGGAAGATGATAAGGTTCATTTATTATGACTATGACTTTAGATTAGAAAACAAAATAAAATTAAATATTTATTAGACTAGATGAACGGTTAAAATTGATTTATAAAGTTTGTTATAATTGCATGGTTTGTAATTGAAATCACCCCTATACACACACACACACACACACATATATATATATATATATATATATATATAGGGCCAAGATCAATTGATAACCGTTCATTTTGTGTTAACTTTGTTCGCCTATCTCAACCAATCAAATTCCTTCATTATTGTAGGTTAATGTATTGTCCAATTTMTACTTCAAAGGGTAGTTTAGTCATTTGGTCACATATGTAACCCCCAAACCATTAATGGGGGGTTACAAAAAAATAAATCCCAAGAAATAATCATTTATTTAATTAATATATTTCTTTTTAATCATTCGAATTACATGATCAATATTGTAGGAAAAAATCAAGTCCCCAACAATCATCATTCATTTAATTAATATCTTTGTTTTTAGTATTTATATTCCATGTTCCCTTTTGTATGAGTTTTAAATCGAATAAGAAACACGGTAGTAATGATGTTCGGCGTCGATCAAGCTAATATGGATAAATGTAACGGAAAAAAAATTGATAACAACGTGGAGATTACAAAGGTTTGTGAAGACAATCCGAGTTCGGGTTCGGGAAGTCATGAAATCAACCAAACGGAACGTCTTGGTAATAGATTTTTTTATTCATATTGATTGAAAGAATGTTGGTGTCGATGTGTTGTGTTTTTTATTGTTCATCTCATATTATTTCTATGATATTCTATCACCATGATGCATTTTCATTTCACACGTAAAAATAGTTAATTACGAGTGGTCAACTAATTATATAATTCATTTATGTTCATATTTGGTTCACGCAAAGGAAAAAAAATCGACAACAACGCGGAGATTACAATGGTTTATGAAGACATACCGATTTCAAGGTCGGGAAGTCATGAAATCAACCAAACCGAATGTATTGGTAATAGTTTTTTTATTTTTTTTAGATTCATATTGATCGAAAATAATGTTCAATACGATGTTGTGTGTTTTTTAATGTTCACCTCATACTACTTATTTGATATACATACGTGTTCATATACGTCATACATATACATACGTTCATGTTTGTGATGATCATTAGTTCATGTTCATCATTCGTTCATACATGTATGTATATATGTACATTTACATATGGTTTATGAATACAATCCGATTTCGAGGTCGGGAAGTCATGAAATCAATCAAACCGAACGTCTTGGTAATAGATTTTTATCTTTTTATATGTTCATATGGATCGAAAGCATGTCGTTGTCGACGTGTCATGTTTTTTTATTGTTCATCTCACAATATTTTTATGATATTCTATTATCACCATGGTTAATTTTCATCTCACGTATAAAAAAAGCTAACTATGAGTGGTCAACTAGTTATAAAATTCATTTATGTTCATATATTGTTCATGCAAAGAAAAAGAATTCGACAACCACGCGGAGATTAAAATGATTTATGAAAACACTCCGATTTCAAGGTCGGGAAGGCATGGAATCAACCAAACCGAATGTCTTGGTAATAGTTTTTTTTTTTTTTTTTTTATTCATGTTGATGGAAATAATGTTCATTACGATGTCGTGTGTTTTTTAATGTTCATCTCATATTATTTATTTGATATTATATCACCATTGTGCATTTCCAACAAACGTATAAAAATTGTGAACTACGTGTTTATATACGTCATACATATACATACGTTCATGATCATGTTCATCATTCGTACATGTTCATCATTCGTTCATTTTGGTAATGTCAACATTCATGTTTTTTATACATGGATCTTGTTCATTCATTTGCTCGTGTACATGTACATATACATACGGTCCCTGTTCATGATCATATATGTACATATCGATGTCATCGGAAAGATGTTCATTACGATGTCATTTGTTTTTTAAGGTTCATCTCATACTATTTTTATTTGATTTTTCTATCACCATGGTGCATTTTCAACTAACGTATAAAAATCGTTAACTATGTGTTTATATACGTCATACATGTACATACGTTCATGTTCATGTTTATCATTCGTTCGTTTGGTAATGTCAATATATATGATATTGAATACATGTCTCTTGTTCAGTTGGTAATGTAAACATACGGTTCCTGTTCATGTTCATATATGTACTTATACATATGGTCCATGTTTATGTTTACCATCCGTTCATGGTCTTGTTTTTTTTTTTTTTGAAAATTTTACATTAAAATTTTTAATTTGTGTTTTTACATGGTGTGTTCCAGACGTTTGCAATTGTTCATATTATTGGGTGGCTAATAGCATCTCTTAGCGTGTCTATATATGTCTTACAATAACATCGTTCCACAGTTTTTTTAATGAAATTAGAGTATGTACATGTAATCATGTTAACATGTTCGTGTGGTTAGTTCGTTCATTTGTTGGTGTGTTCCCATGTTCATATGATTGTATCAGCAGGTGTTCCTATTCTTGCAATATCAGAACCTGAACCGGAGTACGTCGTCGAGGAGTGTTCTCAAGGAAATCAGTTTTTTATCCCCAAGGTTGATGACGATCTTAAACCAAATATCAACTCACACTTCTTAACTATAAATGAAGCGGAGAAGATGTATAGGGCATACGCGAACAATGCTGGATTTGATGTTCGGCTGCACGCCAAAAAAACAAACAAGAATGGAGACATACAAACAAGATGGTTTGTATGTAATAGGGAGGGAACACCAAACAAACAGTTTTTTGATTCGATGGATATGCAGTCTGGTGAAAGGAGATATCGTAACACGAACCTTAAACGTTGTGGATGTTTAGCATGCATAAAAGTCTATTTGAAAAAGGATAAATCCGGTTACGAGATATATGAGTTTGTCGAGGCACATAATCATGCGCTATTCAATACTAACGATCGACGTTTCTCAAGGAAAAATAGACAAATGAAGTATACGGATTACAAAAATGTCTTGAATAGCTCGAGCTACAAAGTTGGTGCGATTAGGGCTCACCGTATACAAACTGCATTAAATGGTGGGTTTGAGCACAATCGATGTTCTGAGATCGACTTTAAGAATTTCAAGAGAGATGCAGTTGCGTGTGTTGGTAAAAAGGATTCAAAGATGTTGATCAATAAACTATCCAATAGACGAGATATTGTTCCCGGTTATTTTTTCAAGTACAAGTGCAATGATCAGGAGTTGGGTGCCATTTTCTGGGCAGATGAGGTCGCTAGACTTAACTACAAAGAATTTGGGGATGTAATTTCGTTTGACGGGACATTTCGCACCAACAAGTAAGATTTTCAAGTTGAATCTGTTTCTTTTATGTATGGTACTCGTCAGTTTTTTATAATATTTTATTTTACCTAATAGGCATGCGATGATTTTTGTTCCCTTTTTGGCGGTTGACAATCACAAAGCTTCRGTTGTTGTCGGATCGGCGTTAATAAGTGGTGAGACAATTGAAAACTTTACATGGGTTCTAAGAGCTTTCCTAAAATGCCATGAGAAGCAACTAGTTTTTGTGATTACGGATCAGTGTTCGGCGATGAAGCAAGTCGTCCCGTTGGTGTTTACGGAAGCTAAGCACCGACTATGTATGTGGCACATCATGAAGAAAGTGCCTTCTAAGGTAATTACACTTTAATAAACAACTCTATTTCATAAATAAACGTCCATGTTCATAGGTTCATATTGTTATTGAGACGTCCGCAGATCAGTGTCGCCTTAAATCAAGATCCTCTGTTCAATAAGGTTATTAACAAGCTCGTGTGGAACGTAAATATTGGACCATCGGAATTCGAGACCAAATGGCAAGAGATGATTGAGCAATACAATTTAGGTCGTG